CTCTCTCTCTCTCTCTCTCTCTCTCTCTCTCTCTCTCTGGGGAACATCTGGTCTCCTTTCAACATCTGTGGGTCCAGTGTTCCCTGGAGATCTCCAACTGGCTCGGCATCAACCTTCCCCTGGGTCTAGCAGGTTCTGGGCCCCGGGGTGCCAGGGTCCAAAAGGACATTCCCGGGCTGTGTTCCCAGCCCTTCTTCCTCCAGGGTAGCAGGCCCCTCTCTCAGGGCTGGCTTCCCTCGCCTCTTATGTCTCCTAAGGTAAAACGCCCTGCTGGTCCCACCCAGGGAAACGCCCCTGACGGTAGCCCAGGGCTGTGCCCTGATTAAGGCTGTTCATCCCACGCTAAGTCCCTTCCCAGGCATTGGCAGGCCATCTTTCGGGGAATGATTACATCATCACACAACTGCCAGACCACTGGGAATCCTAGCCCAGTCACCAACACACATTGCAAAGGGACACAATTCAATCCATGAATAAGTCCTTTTTTTTTGAGGTTTGCCAGCACAGTGGGCATCCTTCCCAACGCCAGTTTCTTCCTGTCTTAATTTTCCTGGTATGTTTCTCGACCGTCCTCTCTAGATTTATGTCTTTGGCCCGTGCGGAATGAGGGCGGTGCTAACAGGGTCAGAGCCTGCTAACTTTAGGGGGAAAGTGCGAATGAAGGTCAGTTCAAGGCTAACCCTTATGAGGTGGAGGTCAGACAGACCCCTCGGGACTCTCCAAATTGGTTACCAACTTGAAGCCGCCTGGCCCACCCACAGCATGCATTCTACTGCTCCGGGGGCATGGCAGTACACTGCAGGGGCCACACCCACTCATCGTTCAGGGACAAGGGACAACACAGCTTCAGGGTCATGGAGCTTGAGCTAGTTAGTTTATTGTGCCAGCCTGGCCGATAAACACATGTGGGGTTCATTGAAGGGCGGAGGGATAAATGGCTTGGTGAGCCTCGCCTTTCTAGTTCTCGGGTCTCTTGCTTTCTGATGGTCGGACCAGGGTGCAGCTGCC